TTAGCCTGAGGATTTAGGGCCGTGTAGTTAGTGCTGTTGCCATGGACTGTGCCAGTTGGAAGATCCAATACAGCCAACCTTTACGGTGGAGACACCATCTGATTTACTGACTGACTGGTCATGACAAACAGAAGCTTTCTGATTATGTCAAACCAGTGCTTTTCAACCTTTTTTTTTTCCAGATAATGACACCCCCCCCCCCCCCCCCCCCCCCCCCCAAACTGAAAACAAAAATGTGATTAAAAAGAGATGGACAAAAAAATAACATGCACTCTTAACAAAATAATCAAACAAAAAACCATCCATATAAATCAGTGAGTCCAATAACAAACGGAAAAATCACCAACAACTGGGAATGCAAGTATCTTTCTTAATATCTTAAGAATCTCAGATGACAGAGAGGTACAAACTATATACACGAGGGAGCTGAATGGCCATAGACCACAAGGCAGACCAAGATGATGATGGAGAGATAATATCCTATCAGACCTGCAAACAACTGGTGTCAACAACCGGAAATAGAAGGCCAACCAGAGAGATGAGTGGAGGCGGGTAATATCTACAGCAGTTAACCTCAAAATTAACCTCAAGGGCTCGAAATGCTGAAGGACAAGAAGAAGAAGAACTATTTGTGTGTGTCCCTGGTGAGTTCTCCTTACCAGGTCTGTGCTGTATTTAAATTCTGGTCAGTGTATACTACATAAATCTGGTACCAATGGCAGCATCTTTCATTCATCTTGCATTCCAACACAACAGCAAGTGGTTAGAGTTTTCATGGTAATATGTAATGGAGACAAAAGAGTTAACAGAAAGGGGATATTTAAATGTATAACATTGATAAAATGAAATAAAAAGTCTGGAAATTGTCACAGGTAACAAATACTGATTACCAATGCTCATTTAATAAATACATGCCCACTTTTAATAGCTATAAAATATGTAACATAATAATAAAGTTTGTACAATCTGGTTACTTTCCTATGCCTATCAATTCTGTTTTTTTAGCATTCCTCAGCTGTGAGCTCCAGCGGAAAGTTCTGGTTATTCTTCTACTTCTGAACTTTACTCTTGTTCCAGAATTTGAGTTTTGTGTGCATATCCATTTTACAGATCTATCTTATTTGTATGCAGACTACTGGTCCCATGTTTCTCCGGCGGATTCACTACAACTTCGAAGGAAACACACTAAATTAGTCGCGTTTTACGCTTTGCTTGTTAGGGGGACAAAACACACATGTGGAAAGGCCTATTTTTTTTTTTTAATTTTTTTTTTTTACGTATCCAGAAACCATGAGTTGTAAACCCTGTGGCTCGGTACTATGGATATCGCAACCCTTCAGCCTTGATTCCATCCTAGGTACCGTTAATCTGGGAGAAATGTGGCCTCTCTGCCCACCCCCGGGAGTGAACCCGGACAAAAGATCTTGCTGTTTCTGCAAAGGAGGTTGGTTGAAGTGTATCTGTGCATTCACGACTGTCTTTGGAATGTTACAGAGTGAGTCTTTAATGTTTTCCACAGTAAGAGTTTCATACCACAGTCCAACAGCATTGAGAAATGTCTTTTTTTTTTAAACCGCCTGCCATGAAAATTAAGCTCTAGTACTCGACAACCGACTAGTAATCCAACGCACTGCGATCAAAACACACTGCGGGCTGCGTGGATTTTTATCGTGGTATGGGATGTCGCAGGTCGACCCAGCCTAGAATGGGTACCAGGATGGGCTGTCCTGAGAAAGTAAAGACAGCCGGCGTAATGCTGACCACTTTACCCACCGAGTGCTGATGGTCTGTAAAAATATGGGTGCTCTTCCCATATGCCTGATAAGCCTAAATGGCGTGGAAAGGGATCTTTACTTTACTTACTCGACAACTATGAAACGCAATCACAAGTTTCTCAGCCACACAATAGTGCCTAGATACTTTTTTATTCTTCTTCGTGTTCACCAGCTGTAAACTTTGGTGGAAAAGTTGTGGTTGTTCATCCACTTCTGAACTTTGGTCTTGTTCCAGCACGAGAGTTTTGCAGACACAGCCATTTTACAGATCTGACCTTTCTGTATGCACACTGTTTGTTCCTCGTCTCTCCGGCAGATGCACTCTGACTTCAAAGGAAACCCCTTCAAGTAATCAACATTTAGAACATGCTTGTTAGGGAAGAGGGAGAGTGGGTCTACTCTCCTCCACCTCCCCACCCCAAAATGGGGCCTCGGAACCCACTTGGGGACTACCTAGATACAAGATGAAACAATCTTCAGCAGTGACCCGTTAAATAATCAGTCCATCCTCTTTAATGATCACACACAGAAACAACAACAAAGCCTGAGTGAACCATCTGTTAGCATGGGCATGAATAGATAGGGCTTGAATTCACAGAGGCAGATCATTTTTTTTTTAAAGATAACCATCAGCCGATCCAGCATAAAACTAGACTCCGGAAATGTCTGGAGAAGCAAAGGTGGCAGGGGCTATGATTACCACATTTTCCATCAGCTGCTGATTGGTCTATAAAAACAGGTGTCTAGCCTCACAGGCCAGATGCACAATTGATGATAAAAGAGTCCTTTACTTCTGCTCTTTTTTTTAATTAATTTTATTCCAGTATGAAGTCACAGACAGGAGGTCTTCACCGACCTCCCAATGTAACCATCCTGCATGGTGGATCCTGTGGGCTAACTTGTGGGATGCATTCAAGATCCTGTGGGCTAACTTGCGGGATGTATTTAAGATCCTGTGGGCTAACTTTTGGGATGTATTCAAGATCCTGTGGGCTAACTTGTGGGATGTATTTAAGATCCTGGGGGCTAACTCGTGGGATGCATTCAAGATCCTGGGGGCTAACTTGTGGGATGCATTCAAGATCCTGGGGGCTAACTTTTGGGATGCATTCAAGATCCTGACGGCTAGCTTGTGGGATGCATTCAAGATCCTGAGGGCTAACTTGTGGGATGTATTTAAGATCCTGTGGGCTAACTTGTGGGATGCATTCAAGATCCTGTGGGCTAACTTGTGGGATGCATTCAAGATCCTGAGGGCTAACTTGTGGGATGCATTCAAGATCCGGTGGGCTAACTTGTGGGATGCATTCAAGACCCTGAGGGCTAACTTGTGGGATGCATTCAAGATCCTGGGGGCTAACTTGTGGGATGCATTCAAGATCCTGGGGGCTAACTTGTGGGATGCATTCAAGATCCTGGGGGCTAACTTGTGGGATGAATTCAAGATCCTGGGGGCTAACTTGTGGGATAGGAAATATCCTTCCAAGAGGTTCAGAAGACCATCATCACTGAATACACTGACAAAAAACTCATTATAATACATGTGAATACAATGTTTTATCTTTGACCAGCTGAGCAAAGTGTTATCCATTCAAATTCTGACTATAAGTTTTTTTTGTTTTTAAAAGTTTAAAGGGTGCCCCTCAAAATGTCTTTTACAGATATACAATCAGCATTTACTGGTACCATCGGAATTGGAACTCTTCATTTGCTGCTGAAGATGGGGACGGGGCGCTTATGGGGGTGTCCCGGGTGCTAAGATGTCGATTCTTCATTCAGCATTCAAAATTTAATGTCTTTTCTATGTAGACTTAAACTTTCTTCTAAAGAAATCTCTGGGATTTTCATGAGTACTGACAGCACATATGTGTCTTGTCAGGTGTCAACATTCCTCCTAGGGAAGTATCCAGGGTATTCACAACTGATGTGCACAAAGTAGGGATTCTTGGACATTCTTCAGTGCAGTTTACACAGACTTACCACATGTCAACATTCTTCCAAGGCTGTTGCATTCATAAGAGTTATCAACACGGACATGTACTTATCAGACGGCAACTTTCTTCTAAGGGAATCTCTAGGGCGTACGTGAGTGTTGTCAACACAAACTTTTCAAATGTCAACACACTTCCAAGGGAATCTCTAGGGCGTACGTGAGTGTTGTCAACACGAACTTTTCAAATGTCAACACACTTCCAAGGGAATCTCTAGGGTATACATGAGTGTTGTCAACATGAACTTCCGACTTCAGATGTCAACACACTTATAAAGGAATCTCTAGGGTAACCGTGGGTGTTGTCAACACAGACTTATCAAATGTCAACACACTTCCAAGGGAATCTCTAGGGTATACATGAGTGTTGTCAACATGAACTTCCGACTTCAGATGTCAACACACTTATAAAGGAATCTCTAGGGTAACCGTGGGTGTTGTAACACAGACTTCATTTGTCAACACTTTTCCAAAGGAAATATCTAGGGCATGCGTGAGTGTCGGATGTCAACATACTTCTAAGGAAATGTTTAGGGTATTCATGATGCTGACACGTATTTTATCAGATGTCAACACTCTTCCACATAAATCTCTAGAACATACTGTGTTATCCATGAAGACATGTCAGTCATCAACTTACTTCCAAAGGAATCTCTAGAGCATACATGAGCACTGTCCTTGCAAACTTGTGCAATTTCTGCACCCTCCCAAGACATTAGAATGCTGGTCTCTTATGCAGGAGAGCCAGGTCTGATCCTCCGTAAGGGATGGATAACTGTTCTGCTGGGTGGGCACCAGATTAAAAAAATCCGAAGCTGCAAAATTCATAGCGACTGCACTAGCCCAACAGCCTTAAATCCTCAGGCTTATGACCTCCCGTCCTACATCGTCCTAAAACTGGTAAATACAGGAAGTTACAAGAGGTTCAGGAAAATCTTCAGAGTATTCACAAGTGTTGCCAATACTGAGTGATCAGGTCCTAGTACTCTTCCAAGGAAATCTCAAGAACATACATGTGATGCCCGTCGAGGCATGTCAGACGTCAACATACTTCTAAGGGAAATCTCTAGGGCATAGATGTGATGCCCACTGAGACATGTCAGATGTCAACGTACTTCCAAGGGAATCTCTAGGGCATACATGCGATGCCCACCGAGACATGTCAGATGTCAACATACTTCCAAGGGAAATCTCTAGGGCACATATGAGAACTGTCCATGCAAACTTGTCAGGTGTCAACACTCTTCCAAGGGAATCTCTGGGGCATTCATGAGTGTTGTCCATGCAGACTTGTCTTTGGGCATGAAAAGCGTGATCCCAGCCTTGTAGGAAGCTGGGATTGTGATGTGTGAGGTCACTTGGAGCCTGTAGCCTGGAACACTGGGCATGTTGAACTCTCTTAGCACGTTCACAACTTGTCCTGAAATATCCACCATAATTATTCATAACAGGTTAAAAATTGAATTCTACAACTGGTAAACTCTTAAGATAAACTTTTACTGTTATCAATTCTGTATAACTCCGGTCTGTTTCTATCAATGGAGCTGTGCACTGGTAAACTCTTTAGACAGACATTCAACTGTATTACTCCTGTATATTATTTTGTTAGTTTTTTATCAATAGGATTGTAAAGTGGTAAACTCTCAAAGTAAACATTCACCAATCCTGTACAACTCTGGTCTGTTTCTATAAGTGCACCTGTGCAATGGATAAAGTCTTTATAAAAACATTAAACTGTATCATTCCTGCAAAATTTTATTTTTCTATCAATGGAATTGTACAAGTGGTAGGCTCTCAACACTCACTTTCTCCCGTCCGATATAACTCTGGTCTATTTCTATCAAAGGAGCTGTGTAATGGGTAAACTCTTTACATAAGGATTCAACTGTTTCGCTGTTGTACAATTTTATTTTTCTATCCATGTAAGTGTACAACTGGTATACTTTTTAGGTAAACATTTTATAATTCCTGTATAATTACATTCCTGTTTCCGTAATGAAGTCATGCAATGTGTAGATTCTTTAGATAAACATTTAATTTTATCATACCCATATAACCTTGTTCTGTTTCTGTAAACGAAGCTGCACAATAGGCAATTTTTTCATTAAACCTTTCCTGACAAATCTGGAGCTCTACAACAGATACACACACTGCACCAAAAAGAAGTGATTACGTACACAGAAGCCAAAGATTACCTGGTTCTGCACCACTTGATAGCTAGCATGACTAGCTAGATGTGGTGAAGGCCTTTTGGGAGCAAGCAACAATGTGGAAGTGTGAATAAATATTCACCGTTTTGACAGAATGGGATAGGGAGAGGGTCCAACACTTTACCCTCAGAGGAAGAGCAAGGCGGACATATAATCAGATTACTGGTGATAACATGGGAAAAGAAATTCTATGCTGGCTGCTGAAGAAGATGGCTACAGAGTACTTATGGCACTGCTCCGAGTGCTGTGATGTTGGTGGTCAACTCAAAAAAGGCATTTGCAGTACATCCTCTTTAGTTTGGTGACACACATAAACCTATGGAGATTTTCTGACAAGCTAAACCAAACAGGATTAAATGAAAAGCTATAACTGCTTGTCAAGAGACAAAGGGGACCATTCTCAAGACCTTCTTTAACAACCTTACAAAAATATTTCAACTCCCCACTGATACCTCCAGCTGAGATTTTGAGCTGTGATCCCATTCCATATATCACTGCCCCACTATCTGGCACTGACTATGAGAGCCTCTTTTCACAACATGACATCCAGGCTTGCAAGACAGCAAATACTACAAATGGCATTACAAGCCAACAGCCAGACCAGCTCTGAATCAAAAGTAATCCCATAGAAGAAACAGCAGTCAGGATATAAAGTGCTAGATCCTCACATATTCTAGGCAGGGTTTTTCAAATAAGTGAAATCACGGCCCAAAAATTTTTTTAAGGCGGGTCATAACGGACCAGAGGGTTGAGCCCAAGCACAGGAAAATCATTAATATAACACAAGTGGCAATGATCAGCGGGCCACTTGCTACGTCTCCCCGTGCCAGATCTGGCTAGCGGGCCGCCAACTGAACAGCCCCGTTCTAGGCTATGACTTATAAAGTAGAATGGTCAGTTCTTTCCTTCCAGACTTTCCTTCCCAGATAATTCCCAGTTACAGAGAAACTAAAAGTGGTAGGGGGGAGAGACAGAATGGATTCTAGAGACTGGGGAAAGAAGGTATCTATGAGCTCAACAGAAAGGAACAAATAATATCTTTTTTACTTTCTGGTTGTTCGTCCACTTCTGGAAATTGGTTCGGAAATTAAGTTTTGTGTGCACATCTGTTTCACATGTCTGGCTTATCTGTATGCAGATGATTGGTTCCTTACCTCTCAGGCAGATACACTCTGACTTACAAGGGAACATCCCTAATTAGTTGCCTCGTATGACATGCCTGTTAGGGGTTGGGGGAGGAGCCTCCCAGAACTGGGGTCCTGAAAAACACACAGGGGGTGAACACTTATACACTTGTCTCAAATGAAGTAACATCAATTCCCCATTAAAACTGTAATTGGTTAATGACTCACTGACATCAAAGCAGAAGAACACTGCTTCTAATTGAAAAGTGATTAAAACTTACCTAATACATTCATGGTCCTCCACCGTGGATCTGCGTGGCTGAGCAAGTGACTTAAATCAGTAGTCTCCCTGAAGCGTGAAATAATATCCTGCCTTCTCACCATTAGAACAGAGTCGCTGCATAACTGCTTCATGGCAGAACGTTCTGACACAATCTCTAGCGGGTTTGTTAAATATAAACCTACAAGAAGAAATAATTGGATAATTGTGTTTTTAAACACGATTTACCTGAAGTTATGAGCAGAGAGCTATTGATTAACAAATCGACTGTGTTAAACTTGTAGTTTAAAACACCAGACGTATCTGTTTGCAAACCTGCCCCATTAAAATATTATCAACACAGATCTAAAGTTATTAATTTATTTGTTTCACAGGCTGCCGTATAAAAACATCATAAATACATTGGTTGTGACCTCATTATTTAAATTTACTACAGAAAGTGCAGTTTTTAATTACCCGTGAATAAAGGTTTAAACAATGGATCAACATCATGGCACAGGGGTAGTAACCCATATGTGCTCCGTTCTACTTGTAACTCAAGTCTTGAGTCCGAAGATTTCTCAGCTCAGTGCACAAACTCTGTAGCACCGGCGAAGACCCTGAAATATCTTGGGTAGAATAAAGATACCAGCTACAAAGATGAAAACAAAAATAGGAAAAGATAAAACTGTCCCTGTCATACCACTGACCTTGATGACTGACCCCATATACCATCTGATGGTGCCAGGAGTCTGGGACCTGCCACAGAGAATGGGGCCCTTGCTGGAGATTCAGTGTGGCTATAGGAATAGCACCTGGAAGAAACATTAAAATTCCATACTGAATACAATGTATTGCTCTTCTTCTTATAGGCATTCACTGGCTGTAAACGCAGAGGAAAGTTATGGTTGTTCGGTCCCTTTTGGACTTTGGTCTTGTTCCAGAACTTGAGTTTTTGTGAAGAAAGTCTTGCATGGCGCAAGCACATGTGTGCAGGCTTGATAAATTGGAGCAAGGAGAAGAGTGGGTCAAAGTGTCCGAGCACGAATCAGACTTGTATGGGGTTCTACTTATTGTAGGTCGTGAGTGCAGGGACCGGCCAGCTGGTGCTGCAGAATCAGAATTTCAACAAAATCAACAAATGATTCATGACAGTTTCCACCCAGGTGATGTGATTATTTATACAGATGGCTCTGTGTTGAGAGGCAGAGGAAGTGCATGGGAGTGCACAGCAAAAGCAAATAGACGTCACTTAGTGCAGCAAAGCCTGGCATATGATATCACAACGTCTAGTTTGAGAATGGAGGTGGAGACAGTCACTGCTGCCTTCCGCTGGCTTGAGAAACAGCTGTACACACATGTCATAACTGCAACTGACTCATAGAGCATGTTAACAAAGGTGAAGACAGACATGTTCCAAGCAGCGTGGCAAACATCACTTCAGAGGTCCTGGGTAGTAAGTGTCCTTTGGGTATTTTCTCCAGGTAATGCTGGTGTGTTGGGAAATAAGCAGGCAGACAGATCGACTGGTTTTGCCCCACCTAGTGGTGAGCTGATGTATGTAAGCTAGATGTTGTGAGGGCCCTTTGGATGTGAGTAAACAGTGTGGAGGCACAAACAGATCATTACGGTATGAGGAGAATGGCACTGTAAGGGGTTACCAGGGGATCTGGCAGACGCTCAACACTCAAGGAAAAGGCCAGACAGACATTTACTGGTGCGATCAGAATTGGAACTCTTTGGTTGCTGTTGAAGATAGGGACATGTGCTTGTGGGAGTGTCCCAAGTGCTTTGATCTTGATTCTTAATTCAACATTTGTTTTTACAAATCTGGCCCATTAGTATGCAGACTCCGCCGACTACGACTTCAAAGGAAACACTTCTAATTAGTTGCCTCTTAGGACACACAGGGGATCTATTTCCCCCAACAATGGGGTCACAGAATCCACACAGGGATAATGTATTATGACAAGGGAAGGTATGAGAAAATTCAAAAAACATTCTGTCATCAAACATAAGTAATGTGCCATCTCCACACAGTATCCAGACCTGGTTGTACACACACTCTCAGATTGCTGTTTGTCCATTTCTTGACATTATCACCACTCATGTATCACTGTCTACTTCTTGCTTGGCTGCCTTCAACTTTCTCTTCCAGTATGGTTGGTTGTAATCAATTTTGTGCATTTTAAAGCAGATGAAATATTTCACTGGCCTTTTTTTCATTTATCTCACTAAAATATATCTAGCCAAACAAAAAGCAGAACTAGTCAGTTATACAGTATCACAAACCCACCCAAGCGAACACTGCTGTGATAAAGAATTCATCAGTACACGACTTAAATAGACAATGCCACAAATATAAAGAATACACAAAATCTCTAAAGTGAACATCTCCAAGAAAAATTCATGTCTCTGTCTGGTCATGTTGAATCTCTGACCTTATTTATTTCAACAGATCTCTTTACATTTTTTAGAGCTCTCCACAATCTCAGGACATAGGGATTAAAAAGGCTGATTCTAGAGAAGGTTGATTAGAGAGTGCTTCTGGGCAGAATTTTTTTTAAAAACCTGCCAGTACATGGAACTGGAACCTGGATCACCGCACTGGTAAGCAAGTGTATTCAGCACTTCATCTTCTGCACATTTGCCAGCTGTAAACTCCAGCAGAAAGTCCTGGTTGTTCACCCAGTTCTGGACTCCGGTCTTCTCCAGGACCTGAGTGTTTTGTGCACATGCATTTTATAGATCAGGCTTATTTGTGTGCAGACTGCTGGTTCCTTGCCTCTCAGGCAGATTCTCTCTGATTACAAAGAAGACGCCAATACTATCTAAGTCAGCAGGTAACCTATCTTTAGGCTGGCTGCGGAGAGATGTAGACCTGTATGCGTGCGCCCTAGACATGCACCAAGTGCGGTTCTGCAACCCGCACTACACACTCATGATTTCACTAGTATTTGCAATCAAACATAAACAGCTACCTCTTTTCATCCAGTAGGCAAGCCACTGTAAGAGTTTCACATTTCGGGGTGGCCAGAAATGGAAGAATCTGCCCCCCACTGCCCCTCCGCTCAGCTTCTCAACACCCAATAAGAGTTCTTCAGCTGTAGTACCTGTGAGATCAGAGTTGTGCAGTAAGTTAAGATCCCCCTGTGAGATCAGAGTTGTGCACTGTTAAGTTCCCCCTGTGAGATCAGAGTTGTGCACTAAGTTAAGCTCCCCCTGTGAGATCAGAGTTGTGCACTAAGTTAAGCTCCCCTGTGAGATCAGAGTTGTGCACTAAGTTAAGCTCCCCCTGTGAGATCAGAGTTGTGCACTAAGTTAAGCTCCACCTGTGAGATCAGAGTTGTGCACTAAGTTAAGCCCCCCCCCCCTGTGAGGTTAGAGTTGTGCACTAAGTTAAGCTCCCCTGTGAGATCAGAGTTGTGCAATAAGTTTAGCTCCCCCTGTGAGATCAGAGTTGTGCACTGTTAAGCTCCCCCTGTGAGATCAGAGTTGTGCACTAAGTTAAGCACCCCTTGTGAGATCAGAGTTGTGCAATAAGTTAAGCTCCCCCTGTGAGATCAGAGTTGTGCACTAAGTTAAGCTCCCCCTGTGAGATCAGAGTTGTGCACTAAGTTAAGCTCCCCTGTGAGATGAGTTGTGCACTAAGTTAAGCTTCATCAACTAATAAAAGCAAAGACCAGATAGAAAACATTGCTCTGGCTACTGAATGAATCACAATTCTCTAATCAATTCTTCTTCTTCTTTTACCATTAACTGCTCTGGCTACTGAATGGATAACTATTCTTTATCAGTTCCTCTTTTACCTTTAATTGCTCTGGCTACTGAAAGGATAATTCTTTAATCATTTCTTCTGCAGAACATACTAAAGAAATCTGACTTCCCTAGTGGTCACTGTAACTGTGTATGTTCACACTTTTAAAGTCATGTGTTTATGACTTTGTTGCATGATTATTTCTTCACTTTAATATCCCTGTAAAAACTCCTTGTACTGAAAGAGCTGAAGGAAGGTTGGCCTGTTGTGATGCGTTCTACAGCCAAACTGTGATATCTAAGCCTTTCTGCCCAAAACATCTAATTTCAGCTAACCGCTCATTACAGCCAAACTGTGATATCTAAGCCTTTCTGCCCAAAACATCTAATTTCAGCCAACTGCTCATTAACTGCCATAATAACATTCTTTTTAGGGTACAGTGGTCTGCTCTTTTTGTTCCACCCCCCCCCCCCCCACCCCCATCCCATCCCCCCAAAGTGGGTCCCTGAAACCCACACCAGGTGTTTTTTAATCAGTGAAGATATGGCCATATTCTCCAAAACTGAATCCATTCAAATCTTGTATTGTACAGATGCCCCACTTAAGCTTCTCAGTCTTCTCAATAGTGAGTGGTTAAGCCATTCACTTAATGCCTAGTTGGTCATGTTCTTAGTACACTTGCTGCCACAGAGAGGCGCACATGCCATTTGGAGGTGACAGGTTTGATTCCCAGCACAGTAACTACAGCTTTCAATTTTTATGTTGTTTAGTGTGTCCTTTTATCTTTCTACATTATTCTATGAGTGCTAATCAATACACTGTTTGTTTATTATATATATATATATATTCTTTAGATTAGTTGTGTATCCTCTACAGGACGTTGCAGAACCAACCCTAGCAGCCCCTGGCTGTCGTGTGGTTTCTCTTGGCAAATTTACGTCCAGTAGTTTGCCACTGCTTTCTGGACAGTCAGCCTCCCGATACCACTGTCGAAACCAATGCAAGGCGCATGTCCCTCAACTGGGAACGAACCCGGCACCCCGGCATTACGAAGCGATTGCATCGACTTAGCCACAGAGCCGACATATATATATATATATACATAAATAATATGTCATTTACTGTGTGCTCTGAAGTGGGTTCCTTTGAAAGATATTTTTTGTCTGGTTCACAAAAGCAATAGTTAAGAGTTTCATCTGAGTCCTCGGTGAACCTGAAGAATTTGTGCTTTGTGCAATGTTCTTGGCAAGCAGCTAGCTACTCTGCAAAGAGACTGTGTCATATGGGAGACAACCTGGTGCAACGAAGTCAAACCTCTGGATTTTACACTTTTTGACAGGCCAGCTTAAATTTACTCAACAGTCGCATATACCATTAATCATCACCATTTGCCTTGCCAAAGATAGCAGTTCTGTACAAATTCAGGTCCTTAGTTTTAAAAAAAAACACCACGTTGGCCATCTTTACTTTTCATAAAATTACCTGGTTATCTATTTTAGGCTGGGTCGGCCTGGGAGCTGAGGTTAGCAGTAACAAAGTTCACCCTGATGGGGGTTTCTTCTTCTTCGCATTCACCAGCTCTAAACTCCAGCGGAAAGGCCTGGTTGTTTGTCCACCATTGGACTTGGTCTTGTTCCAAAATCTTAATGCTGTGTGCACATCTGTTAAACAGACCCGACTTGAATGTATGTAGTTTGTTGGTCCCTTGCCTCTCAAGCAAATGCATTCTGACTTCAAAGGAAGTTCCTAATCAGTCGACTCTTACGACATGCTTGTTTGGGAGGTAGTGGGTTTATCCTTGTTTTTCCCCACAATGGGGCCCTGGAACCCAGATGGGAATGATGTGGATTTGAACCCCAGGCCTTCAGGCCAGCATCTAGAAACTATGCTATCTCAGCTTTCTCTGGTCCTAGGTCATTTCTACCGATACTTTTCCAAGCCTCCATAATAGGCCACCTGAGCATCTACTTTTCCTGCTGATCTGTGCAGTCATTATGATGTTCTTTCTTTCTCTAATGCCTTTCTTGTCATCACATAAGCAAAGAGTGCCCCGATAAAATAATGTCTAGACATGCAGCTACTGGCCTGAAATTCTTGGGTTTGAATCTGTAAATAGGCACACACTAAAACTGCAAAAATAATCTTGGCACCAAGGTCAACCCAAGGTTTAAAAAAAAAGGTACTAAGTAATGGTGTTGGAAGTAGACATGTTGACCACATCACCCACCATGTGCCGACTGGCCTATTAAAAAAATGGGTTTAGCACCCCCCCCCCCCCCCCTTTTCCGTTCTTTGCTTTTCAGGAAGATAAAGATCTAATTAGTTGCTGGCTAGTACAACATTGTTAGGAGGGTAGTGGTCCACCTTGGAGCCTAGGGTTGTTGTTTTTCTTCTAATTCCAGTTCCGTTAGGGCCCAAACTCAAACCACCTAATTTGCAAGCAAGCGCCCAGCCGTTACACCATGGCCGCTCTTTGTGCAGGTTAGAATTTTTTTTTTTTTTTTTGTTTAGGACGGAACAAATCTTCATTGCTTCCTGAGGGTTACCAACAACAAACAAAAACTAAATATTACACTTACCAGCTTTTGCCCGAGAAAAGAGGTATTCGGGAATACTAGCATCTTCTTTTCTCAAGCTGGTTTGAATTATCTTGCACACTGCAGACTTCTCAAAATTAAACTTCAGTGCTTTCTGTCAAGGATTCAAAGTACAATAAAACATTCATTTAACTCAAGTTTGTTCCATAAAATTAAATGAATCAAGACAATAATAAACACTGGGGGAGTAGATCATGTGTCACTAACAAGTTACCTGCTAGAGTCATACCCAAGAAACAGGAAGCACAAGGGGTTTAAAGAATGAACAAACACTAAAGAGTTTACTATCATCATTATGAGCTGTGCAAAAAAAGGGTAGATAGCCACAGCTCCCCATTTTGTACAATCACAAGGATAAGATCTGCATTTCTGTCCCAATTATGTCATTTCATCATCATCAAGTGCCTTGCTGACTGGTGTTGGACAATCATGCTTCTACACAAACTGCAATCCCCATAAGCATTCAGCAGCTTATGTGCTGAACCCCCTCCTCCCTGCCATGACAAAAGGCTGTCAAGAACTTTCCCCAATCTCTCTTTCCCCAAATATTTCCAGTGGTTACAGCATACTCCAACTGCCTTCTTCTCACGATATGACCAACAAACAAACAAATGTATGATTTGTCTCTTTTTGATGTTAGTGATAAGTTGTATTCAAGCCCTTACCTCTTTCAAAACATCTAGGTTGTCCTTTTTTGGCTGTCTAAAAAATTAGAAGCCACCTTCTGCAGAAGCAAATCTCTATTGTTTGGCTTGCTTACTGACTGTCCACGACTCAGAGCCATACATTAAAACTGGCTCTTTACAACATACAAGAATTATGGTTCTAGTCACGTTAAGAGACCCAACGATGAGAGTGACCTTCCTTTCCACTGATGCCTCGATCTGGTTGTAGGGCCTCTACTGTCGCAGCAGGGGTGCCTCCAAGGTCACACGACTGTATGCAGCATATAACAGAGGCTGCAAACAGTCGTGAGACACAGGTTGAGGCTGGGAGTGGGGGGAGGGGGGGGCCAGCTGTATGTGTTTATGGAATATTAGAAGTACTCACACCATAAAATACACGATATCGTCAGCCGCTGATAAGAAGTGAAATATGACTCAGTACGCCTCAAACCTGCGACATAGTAGAGATGCTACACCAGATCGAAGCATCAATAAAAAAGGAGGTCACTCTCATTGTTGGGTCTTATCGCGACATGTACTGAATTCTCTGTTAATTTTTCAAGTTTACCTCTCATAAAATACCACACAAAAATCTAGACTTTTTATACTCAATGGCATAGTTTATTATTTTCATCTCTTTCTTGAAGGACTGATTTATTCATGTTTCTTTAGAATTTTCCACAGAATGAGTTACATTAGCTCCCAGCCACAGAATGATAGTTAATGATAGCAATAACTTGACAAATAAATAGACTGCAATGACAGATGATAGCAATAACTTGACAAATAAATAGACTGCAATGACAGATGAGAGCAATAACTTGACAAATGAACATATTGCAATGACAGATGAGAGCAATAACTTGACAAATAAATAGACTGCAATGACAGATGAGAGCAATAACTTGACAAATGAACATATTGCAATGACAGATGAGAGCAATAACTTGACAAATAAATAGACTGCAATGACAGATGAGAGTAATAACTTGACAAATGAACATATTGCAATGATAGATGGGAGTAATGACAAATGAACATATTGCAATGATAGATGGGAGTAATGACAAATGAACATATTGCAATGATAGATGGGAGTAATGACAAATGAACATATTGTAATGACAGATGGGAGTAATGACAAATGAACATATTGCAATGACAGATGAGAGCAATAACTTGACAAATAAATAGACTGCAATGACAGATGAGAGTAATAACTTGACAAATGAACATATTGCAATGATAGATGGGAGTAATGACAAATGAACATATTGCAATGATAGATGGGAGTAATGACAAATGAACATATTGCAATGATAGATGGGAGTAATGACAAATGAACATATTGTAATGACAGATGGGAGTAATGACAAATGAACATATTGCAATGACAGATGAGAGTAATGACAAATGAACATATTGTAATGACAGATGAGAGTAATGACAAATGAACATATTGCAATGACAGATGGGAGTAATGACAAATGAACATATTGCAATGATAGATGGGAGTAATGACAAATGAACATATTGCAATGATAGATGGGAGTAATGACAAATGAACATATTGCAATGACAGATGAGAGTAATGACAAATGAACATATTGTAATGACAGATGAGAGTAATGACAAATGAACATATTGCAATGACAGATGGGAGTAATGACAAATGAACATATTGTAATGACAGATGGGAGTAATGACAAATGAACATATTGCAATGACAGATGGGAGTAATGACAAATGAACATATTGCAATGACAGATGAGAGTAATAACTTGACAAATGAACATACTGCAATGATAGATGGCAGTGATGACAAATGAACATATTGCAATGATAGATGGGAGTAATGACAAATGAACATATTGCAATGATAGATGGGAGTAATGACAAATGATCATATTGCAATGACAGATGGGAGTAATGACAAATGAACATATTGTAATGACAGATGGGAGTAATGACAAATGAACATATTGTAATGACAGATGGGAGTAATGACAAATGAACATATTGTAATGACAGATGGGAGTAATGACAAATGAACATATTGTAATGACAGATGGGAGTAATGACAAATGAACATATTGTAATGACAGATGGGAGTGATGACAAATGAACATATTGTAATGACAGATGGGAGTAATGACAAATGAACATATTGTAATGACAGATGGGAGTAATGACAAATGAACATATTGTAATAACAGATGAGAGTAATGACAAATGAACATATTGTAATGTCAGATGGGAGTAATGACAAATGAACATATTGTAATGACAGATGGGAGTAATAACTTAAAAAATGAATAAACTGTAATGACAGGTGGGAGTAATAACTTGACAAATAAATAGACTGTAATGACAGATTGGAGTAATAACTTGACAAATTAACACACTGCAATGACAGATGAAAGTAATAACTTGACAAATTAACATATTGCAATGAAAGATGGGAGTAATAACTTTACAAATAAACATATTGCAACGACAGATGTGAGCAATAGCTTAACAAATATATAGACTGCGATGACAGATGGGAGTAATAACTTGACAAATACATAGACTGCAAACACAGATGGGAGTAATAACTTGACAAATTAACATATTAGAATGACAGACAAGCATAATAACTTGACAAATGAACATACTGCAATGACAGATGGGAGTAATAACTTAACAAATGAACATATTGCAATGACAGATTGGAGTAATATCTTACAATGAACATACTGCAATGACAAATGGAAGTAATAACTTGACCAATCAATAGACTTCAATAAAAGATAGTCCAGCAGCAACTGGAGCTCGCACCAGGATTAACATGAATGATGATAGATATGAGATAAAACAGTAATAACTTGATAAATAATAAACAAATTATAATGGCAGATGCTACAAGGTATCTTGAAAAAAAAAACAGATAATAAAGCACTGCTCTTCTTTGGTGCATATCAAAAGTGAGGTGGCCATCTTTAAACTGCCCTCTCATAGTAATAACATAACAAATGAACCGATGGACGTGATAAATAATGGCAAAAACATAACAATGATTATACTGACCAGCACGTTGAGAACAGCTGTCTGCCCACATGCAGATACAGCAATCTGCTTGAACTGCATCACATAGGCTTCATACTCATTCCAGATCATGACACGATCCACTTTCAGCCTTTCTGTCTTGGAGTTCTGACCGCCTGAAGTACCATTCTCCTTACTGTTCTCATCATCATCATCCTCACAAGATGTGACTGGCTGAAATTGTTAGATAGTTAATAAAAGGCAGCTGTCATGGTGTGGTGGCTGGACACTCATCAGCAGATTTAGAGTTCATGGGTTCAAATCTGCATTTCACAGGTTTTTTTAAAAACAAAAAAAAACAATAACACTGGCTCCCAGGTCGACCCAGTCTTAAATGGGTTCCAGGTAAAGTCCTGGAAAGTAAAGGCGGCCTGCATCATGCCGACCACATCACCCAACGAGTGCCGACTGGCCTAAAAATTACTGGTCTTGAACTATATGCCCAATATGCCTAAAGGCGTGAAAAGGTCCTTGACTTTACTACTGCTTTTTTATGGTAAAGGTAAATTCAGGAGATGTGAACCAGCGTCACTGCACACGGTTATAAACCATAAGTGCTCGGCCACCAGTACGGACAGCTGATTAAAAAAAACCACCCACCTCTGTCACCGTCCGCATGCAACTCTGTAGCTACAGTGACGTTCCTCCACTTACCCCAGAGTGTTAACTCTGGTACCCATTTCCTAGAGGCTGGGTGAACCCCAGGAAATGTCCGATTTAAAACATCGGCCGTGGACTGCAGCAAGTCGCAGCTGGATTTGAAAGCGAGTCTCCTATCAAAAGTGCTAACGCTGCCCCCTTGCCTTGTTATGAGCGCAATTAACTTTTTTCTTTAATAATTTGAAACAACTATAAATCAAGTTTTGTTCCTTGCATTAACTGTATTGTTCTTGGTACTTAAAACTTTGATAAAGTACATCTCTAAAGATAAAAACAAGCGAATGGAAGACATAGTCAATGAATTATCTACACCTGCATCTCTAGCTGCTGAGGACTTCAGGGCACACACCAAGGAGTCACCTGGTGTAGCCGTTACAGGTACTCCAGAATATCATTTCTGAAAAGGCTGAACAAGATATCTTGGATTTACCCTCTTGGACTGGCATCAATGACTCTTCATGTCGTAAGGGTGTTCATTCTTTAGGTAGCAGTCTGAAGGGGAAAATACTCCACCCTTTCCAGACAGTCAGAGGAAAATCATGGAGGAGGAGATGAGAAAGGAACTGTTTGGTAGAAACACAGAGTCAATCAGAGGAAGACAGAGGAGACAAAGAAAGAACTGTCTGGGGGAAACAAAAAGTCAAATGTCAATCAGAGGTGGAGAAAAAGAGGGAACTGTCTAGGAGAAACAAAGTGTCAATAAGGGAAAGATAAAGGAGGAGGAGACAAAGAAGGAACTGTCTAAGAAAAACAAAAAGACCAATCAGAGGAAGATAAAGGAGGAGGAGACAAAGAAGGAACTGTCCAAGAAAAACAAAGAGCCAATCAGAGGAAGATAAAGGAGGAGGAGACAAAGAAGGAACTGTCCAAGAAAAACAAAGAGCCAATCAGAGGAGATAAAGGAGGAAGAGACAAAGAATGAACTATCTGGGGGAAACAAAGAGTCAATTAGAGAAAAATAAAGGAGGAGGAAGAGACAAAGAGGGAACTGTCTGGGGGAAACAAAGAGTCAATTAGAGGAAGATAAAGGAGGAGGAGACAAAGAAGGAACTGTGGTAGAAACAATGAGTACTTACCTGTCGCTGTACATCCTGCCCATCCTTATCAAAAAACCTCATGAAGCTATCCGTGGTGCTGACTGTTTTAATCAGGTCATAGAACTCTTTGCTCGGCTTAGAGATAAAAAAGAGATATGCCAAGACATCATTTTTCAAGACCTGGATTAAAAGCTCATGGATAATAATATATTGTTTTTATAATAAATGGTGTTTTTTTTCAGTGAACAAAAATAATCTACTGATTGTCTTGCCTCTAGTAATATCTTCTGTTTATTCTGGTTTAATTTTGCCCTAAAGTATGAGCATTAGTCAGCTAGAGAGATAAACAACACATTAAAAATGAGAATCGTAAAATGTTATACATACTCAACCCAGCTGTATGGTTCAGAAACTTGGACAAAGAATAGGCAACTAGAAAATTGTCTCTGTAAATGTGTAAATACAAAAAAATTGGTTGTATTTCATGGAAACAAAAACAGTGAAACATAGAGGTTCTGGAAAGACAAAGAAAGAAAAGAGAATTACTGAAAGACATTTTTGTTAAATAGACAACTGAAATACTTTAAGCACATTAAAAGACATACTACGCTTTTAAAAACCATACTGAGGGAAAGGTCGAGGGCAACAGAGCAAGAGGCAGACAATGATACAAGTGGGAGGACAACATCAAGAGATGGATGACAGCAGTCCAGGGGTGTAAAACCAATATTTAACAATTTGGAAGACAGATAAATGAATTGTCTCAGACACAAACAGATATGTGATTTCAAGGATGATAACAACAAAATATAATTTGTTTTTAATTACCTTCTCAAGAGAAGTAATAGGAAAAAACTCAAAGAGATACAACTCCAGCTAAACTTTTAACTGATTGTTGCAATAAATTAAGGAAATGTATATAAAGCTGGCCACCAATGTGACTGTTAAGTTACAGATTGTAGCCATAATGGCAAATGAAAGTTTAACCGGTGTGGTGGTCACAGTTTCAGAGTTAACACTTCAAATAAACCCATGAAATACAGAATGGGTTTGTGATTTATAGTGTAGGTATTTACAGTACGTACATTTCTGCATACATAGATCTGAATTTACGCTGGAGCTACAGCATTTCTGCACTGCTGAGATCTCCTAATGTGATCTATAGAATCAGACTAGTGAAATTATAGAAAATCTCTGCGCAATAAGTGTGATCCGCTACAAACTAAACCATATGAAGCAAAAAATACACAATGTCTCTAGAAATAAGCCAACATGTTATGAGCAACATTGATACTTCTTCTTCTGCATTCAACTTAAAAGGACGACTGAAGTGTTGATTTGTAGTTTACAGTTGGACTGCGATATCTGCACCTTTCATTGATTTCAACAAGTTCTTAATTTGTCAACTTTTATTTCATGCTTGTCAGAATGGGAGTTGTTATCCTAAAAACACTTGGAGGTGTTTTAATGAACAACCAGAATGTTCTGCTAAAGTTTACAGCCGGCGAATCTGAAGACAAATAGTTTCATTCAGTGGTAATTATCACAAATATTTTTTTATGTCAGATGGTGTGTCCGGTGCTGCATTATGGCTAGGAGATTAATCGTTTTCTATGATTCTTCTGTCAGAAAACCTTATACCTGGAGGTCATCAGACTTGATGAAAGCTGATGTGCAGTCCAAATCTCACTGCTATTGTGCAGTCCACATCTGACTGTTACTGTGCAGTCCACATCTCTCTGATCTGTGCAGTCCCCATCTCTCTGCTACTGTGCAGTCCAAATCTCTCTGCTACTGTGCAGTCCAAATCTCTCAGCTATTGTGCAGTCCAAATCTCTCAGCTATTGTACCGTCCAAATCTCTCAGCTTCTGTGCAGTCAGGATCTCTCAGCTATTGTGCAGTCCTGTCTAAAATAAAATGTACAAGCATAATATTTTGACTAGTGTATCCGAGTAAATGCAGTCACACTTGATGCACTATCTGGAACTGAGAGAGTTAAGGAGCAGCGAGTCTATCCAACCCCCACCCCCCCCCCCCCCCCCCCCCCCACCCCCAGGGTTCCGAAAATCACAAAAGGACAACACTGATACAAGAGCAAAAACACATGCATACATACCATGCCATTTCGTAGTGGGTTCTGATCGTGCACACACAAGTATTGATGATCATCACAGCTGCAAGACAAAAGTACATGTTCTACACATCACTGACTACAAAATGCCTGTGACTGTACTGGTTAGGTGTCTCAAAACTTAGTTGCCAACAGTGTGGTTGGTTGGATGAGATTCTCTAGAACGCTGTAAATTTTAGCTTCTATATGGATGCATTTATATTCTTCCATCTGATTTTTAATTTATCAAGTTTGCTAGCTGTCACTAAGTTTTGAAGATTATTTCTCATCTTTTTCTTCTTCTTCTTCAGCATTCCGAGACCCGGGGTTTAATTCTGCAGATTAGACCCGATTCCATTCATCTCTCTGGTTGGCCTTCTTTTTCCAGTTGGTGACACTAAGTGTTTGCAGGTCTGTCTGGACATTATCTCCCCAATCTCCAAGATCTGCTTCATGGTCTACAACCATTCAGCTCCTTGTATATACAGTTTTTACCTCTTTGTCTGACATTCTCAATATGCCCGAGCCATTTCAGTTTTTCATCCCTCCTGATGCTAGTGATTTTCTCCTCATGCTTACTCAAAACAGTTCTACTGTCTCTTCTACATGTTCTAAACATAGTTAAGCAAAGGACCCTTTTCCATGACTACAGTCGTATTGGGCATATAGGGCTAGACCTATATTTTATAGACCAAATGGCACTTGATGGGTGATTTGGTCAGCAGCACGACTACCGCCTTTTCTTCCCAGGATTGTACCTGGTACCCATTCAAGGCTGGGCCGACCTGAGAGACAAGGTCGATTTCCAAAAAAGTCTGGCCCCCATCAGGATCCAAACCCACGACCTTTTGATTCGCAGGCGAGCATCTAGCTGCTAGACCATGGTGGCTTCCCACACGTTTTACTCATAACTGATATAAAATGTTAGTGACTGCATTGATTATGTGTTTCATAACTAGGGCTGTACCGAATATTCACTTCGTATTCGCTTCGGGGCCGAATAGTGGACCTACTGACTATTGACTATTCGGCCGAATAGTTGCGGTCGGGCCGAATACCTAGCACATAATCTGTTTAAATCACAATTGATCACTGGCATCATGAGAGCTAACAGACTAAAATGGTTGGGGCATATTGAAAGAATGTCAGATGACAGAGAATTAAAACTGTATACACATGAGGAATGGGCGTAGACCACAAGGCAGACAAAAAAGAAGATCGAGAGATAATGTCCAGCCAGACCAGCAAACAACTGCTGTCACAAATTGTGAAGATAAGGCCAGCCAGAGAGATGAATAGAGACCAGTGATATCTGCAGTAGTAAACCTCAAGGGCTCAGAATGCTAAAGAAGAAGATGACTATTCTTTATGTAAAGTAAAAGTTCAGCGTAAATTTGACATTATGAATGTTTTTTTTTTAGTTATATTTTATACACTATTCGTATTCATATTCGGCCAAATAGTTGGTCCCATTATTCGTATTCGGCCGAATAGTTAAATCACTATTCGGTACAGCCCTATTCATACCTTAGTTGTCAACAGGCAGGGTGGTTGGCTTTTTGGTTGGCTGGGATTCTTTACAAGGGATAGAGTCTCTGCACTAGAAGCCAGAGTAGACTATATCGGTGAGATATATGCCTTCTGGCCTGAGGGTCATAGGTTCAAATCCTCTTTAATGCTGATGTTTCCCCTCAAAATTTACCCTGATCAGGGCTAGTCTACCTAGCCTAAAAGTAATGTCCTGGGATATACAGATGGCTGATGTGACATTGACCACATCGCCCATCGAGGACTGATTGGTCCATACAAAACTATAAGTCTAACCCTATATGCCAGATGCGCCACAAGTTGTGGTCATCTCAGCTCCACAAAGGACTCATGTCTGTCACATCAAGATGGTGTAGAGACTTTTCTCCTGAACCAGTACAGAAAAACAATCTGATAGGATTATATTTGAGTTCCCCTGAATGAGTGGAACAAAAAAATAACTTTTTTTAAAAAATAATGATTATCTATTTCATGATACTTACAGGTGCAACATATTTGTCCCTCGCAAAGCTCCTGAAGTGGCTAGCTGAAGATCCTGGTAGAACTCGTCACTGTCTTCCACCCCACCAGCACACAGCCCAGCCCCCATGTGGTGAACAGGCTCAATCTCCTCCTCCATGGGCAGCAGAACCATGTCCACATTATCTTCACTGTCATGGCTGCAACAACAGAGCTGACTTATTTCTCTAAACTGGATATAAAATGGATGTGAGTTGTGGACTAACTTGCAGCACATGGGGAAGGAAAAAAGAGTGGCTTTTAAGCTGAAATGTAGAAAGATTTGCTGAATACCCTAGACAAAGAAGACAAAAATTAACAGATTTGAAAACAGTCAAGGAAGACTAGTTAGTAAACAGCATCTTGTCTCAGAAGCTGAAATATTTTGGAAAGTTCTGGTTGTTTATCCCCTTCTGGACTTTGATCTTGCTCCAGAACCTCAGTTTTTGCATGCATATCCATTTTGCTTGCTTGCTTGCTTAGTGTACTCCACCAGGACATCACACAAGCGATAATCACCCGGTGACACAAAGTGCCACCATGCGGATGAAGATCACCCGTGGAGAAGTCCTAGAAACCCCTTTCAGCCGTCATGGCCACATTTGTGGCCTAGCTATATTCAGGACCTCCGGCAAAAGCCAGGGTGGGGCTTCAAATAATGAAAAATGACAACCCACAAGGGGACGAATTCAGTGATATCCATTTTACAGATGTGGCTTAGCTGTATGCTGATGCTAGTGCCTCACCTCTCAGGCAGACACAGTCTGATTTAAAAGACACCTAATCAGTAGTTGACTTTTATGACATGACTGTTAGAGAGGTAGTGGGTCTATCCTATCCCCCCCCCCCCCCCCCCCCCCCCCCCCCCCCAATAGGCTTCAGGAAAACACAGGGGACTAGCGATATTAATATATTATACTTCTACCCATAGTGAAGTAAAAGCACACAGTTATACAGCCTATTACATAAACTAATAATAATGATACAATAACTAATAGGTGATTCTGTTACATATAATAATGCAATAACATATAACAAACTGATATTAAAAGTAATTTAATGATAGATTAAGGATTCTACTGACAGATCAAATAATCTACTGATACATACAAAAGTAATCTACTGACAAAGCAAGTTTTCTACTGCCAGATCAAGTAATCCATTGACAGACCAAGCAATCTACTTAAAGACCGAGAATTTTACTGCCAGATCAAGTAATCTATTGACAAACCAAGTAATCTACTGAAAAACCATCTAATCTACTGACGGAATAAATAATCTATTTAAAGACCAAGTAATCTACTTATAGATCACGTAATCCACTGAAAAACCAAGTAATCTACTGATAGCAAAAGTAATTTTTTTAAAAAAAAAGGTTACTTCAAGCTTAACATGCTCATATCTTCTATACCTGAGAGGGTCCTCTGATCCTCCATTATCACTGTTTTTGTCAAGCTTCCTGCCAAAAAAACCATCCATCTGTGTATTTAAAAAAAAAAAAAAGGGGAAAAAAAGAAAGAAAACAGTTAAATAGTCATGCCGTAAAACTTCCCACAAAATAAAAGGATTGAACTAGGTTCAAATTAATTCCTTACCATTTAAAGTATTCATTATCTGCTAAAGATGATTTTTGACATTCTGTACAAGTGATAAGGTCCCCCCTTCGCACCACATCTTGCACTCATGGTTTAATGATTCATATCCTATGATGACCAACTGTCTGTTTTCATTGTTAAGTTAGCTGTGGTTTTTTTTTTTGTTTACAGGATGTTTGCAGAACCAGCCCCAGCACTTTTCGGCTGTGTGGTTTTACTAGATAAGTTTAAATTTAACAATTTGCAAATGAGGAAAACTTTCTGAATGGTCAGCTTTTGACACCATTGTAAAAATCAACACATGCTCTGCTGCCAAATCACCCGCAGTTGGAATCGAACTAGGTACCTCAGCATTACAAAGCGTGCTTGGAGCACATAAACCAAGGATGCAGACATTATCATAGTATGTATTTAAATTAAAATGTTTCAATAATTTTATCTTTGAAATAATATCGTTGGATTTTGGTCAGGGATCAATTCTTTGTTCACCAGCTGTGAGCTCTGGTGGAAAGTCCATTTGGACTTTGGCTAGGTGCCAGGGCCTGAGTTTTGCATGTACATCTATTTTAGTGGCTTTGTGTGCTGTTTGTTGTTCCTTGCTGTTCAGGCAGATTCACTCCGACTTCGAAGGAAGCCCTGAATTTGTCAATTCCTATGACATGCTTGTTGGGTAGGCAGTGGGTCTGTTCATGTTTTCCCCACAGTGCGGTCTGGAACCAACACTGGGAAGGATCGATTCAATAACATACATGTCATAATTGTAACTGACTCAGAAAGCATGTTGACAAAGAAGAGACCAGTGGGCTCCATACATAGTGGCAAGTATCGCTTCCGAGGTCCTAGGTAGTTTGCATCTTTTGAATATTTTCTCCAGGTTATGTCGGCATATTGGGAAATGAACAGGTGTCTGGTTTTGCATAATTTGATGGTGAAATTATGCATAACAAGCTAGATACTGTTAGGCTACTTTCGGAGCAAGTGAATAGTGCCGAATCACAAATAGATCATTTTGATCTGAGGAGACATTCAGCACCCAACGGGAAAGGCTGGCATGTTGTGCTGTGGTTTACAGCTTGGCTGTGATATCTGTACCTTTCAGGCAAACACATCTAATTTCAACAAACTCTATTTAATTTCCTTTTATGACATCTTTACTGAGGGCAGGGGGTCTATTCTTGTCTCCCAAAATGGGACACCAGAGGTCACTTAGGGAGTAGCCTAATCAATCTGCTCTCTTCTATTCCCAACTGCCCTGGACTATTAGCGTATAAAACATGTACACTAAGTGTTTTGCTCTTATAACCTAACTATCCTATAATTTGGTGTGGTCCATGATTTACATCAGTGGAGTTGTCACAGGCACAAATGCATCTTGTGGCTGCCCAAAAAGCGTATTGTACTCCAGTGGGTGCCTTCCCTCTATGGTCAACCAGGAAATGAGTGTGCAGATAAACTCAATGAGAAAAGCTGGAGAATGTGAACAGCAAGACCATTCAATAACATTCTTTTGAGACAAAACATGGTCCAGTCAGTCTATCGGGAACAGATTCAAGCTAATGAAGGCTACAATCTACTTGACTGGCATGGACAGGTCATCACCCCAAGCCTCAGGACAGGGCACAACAAGTAAGCATTTACACAGGCTTTGTCTGAGTAGTTTACCACTGTGCTTCATGTTGGCTGTGCGTACAAACTGCAGAACATGTCCAGCAAGACTGTCCCCGTGTACATTTCAGGGTCTATGTGGCTAAGAGGTTTAGCCATTTGTACTCTGAAGGTCATGAATTTGTTTTAGGGGTTGCATCATTTGGTTAGCAAGTACAACATTTGCAACGATCCTAGAGGATCATCACTGGAGCTTTGGAAGACATTCTCAGCAGGCAGCTGTAGATATACCAAGGCATGCAGGATAAAGACCAGGGCAATGAAACCGATCCTATTGACTCAAAACCTTGTATCAGAAACATGCATGGATCAAACAGAAAAATGACTGTCAAAAACTAGTCTGAAGACAGGCAATGCTAAATACACCATAACATTAGATTAGATACCTCAACGGAGGCAATGGAAGATGGGCCCAAATACATCTGAACGTTTCAACCAAAGTCTTTATCAACGGAGTACTAAAGACAACACAAACAATGACTTGAAAAAGTCAACAGAATTTTTAAACAACCAAGGTTTTATGTTGTGTTTAGCGTAACAGCTGGATTGCAGTCAACCTCTATGTCATCACTGATGAAAAGCAAGCACAATATAAGCAAAAATAACAAACTGTAAATACAAAGCAACAGATTTCAACTTACATCTTCCGGATCACCAGATGATGCTGTGTGAGATCCTCTGTCATTGACTGCATCCTCTACAGGGAACTTGGCAAAAACTTTCTGGTGCAAGTTACTGCTGTCACTGTTGAAATTGGTTTCTGGTCCATCACGACAGAAACCATTTGCCACATGGCTGTGACTATGGTGACAGCAAGCATTGAGGTCATTAACCTGGGACAGCTGATAGCTAGGCGGACAACAGGCACCGCTGCCTGAAGTGGCTGAGCAGCCTGACAATTCCTGCTTGTGCATCTGTGTGCAACTGTCACTAGAGCCAGGTGCACTGCTGGCGGTGAATGCAGTATGCTCTCTTCTAGGACTTTGGCTGGATTTAGTGCCGTTACAAGAGCTGGGTATACCGCCGCAGCAGAACATGTCTGAATGGAAGAAATACTGAGAAGGGGAAGCCTGTGGCAGCTCGCATTCAGCACCAGGAGGGCAAGAATTGCATGGATCGACTTGAAGTTTGTGAGAACTATCCAAAGTTACTTGTGAAGCTGCAGCACCGTCTAGGCATGAGCTGGTAGAACTATAACACACAAACGGTACCGGACTCCCCACAGCAGAATTGAGAAATGAATTAGCATCTAACACAGAACTATCTCCATTCTCATTTTCACTGCTGCTACTGCAAGAAGTTGCACTTCTCAAAAGAGGAGATGAATCTCTGGTAATCTCAATTTCTTCATTATTCTCAACACGACTAGATAAAGCAGTGCTCCACTTATCAGAATTCCCATCAATACTCAATACTTCCAACTCATTGTGAACCTTTGGTTCATCAGAAGACAAATCATTACACTCAAATTCTGAATGTCTTTTCCTTCTACTAGCAAAATTACTATTCAGTTCCCTACTTCCCTCATGGTCACTGCTACTGTTGGAAGAAATATTATCCATCTCATCTGAACTGGATAAAATGTGTTTGTTGTGTGATGGCAAATCTGCATCAATGAAATCACCAGTATCCTCACCATCATCTAAATTATCACCACCACATTCACACGCAAGCGAAAGTCTTCCTTCGCTACCGACATCCAGCCGGACCATGTCACTAAAATTATGCCTTTTAACACTGTGCGTAGACGAACTAGGTACAACACTAGCAGCTGGAGTCAGCTCTGAGAATGACATGTCTTTTCGTCCATGTGCCAGCTTTGGGTTGTAAACGTAAGAACAGTTTTCGGACTCAGAATCATCGTCAAATAAATTTGTACAGAGGTTACCATTATGTTTGCATGAAGTTATAATCATCGTTTCATCTGCGTGTCCAGTGCAATTCCTCAACTCAGAATCTGATTGGCTGTCATCACTGCTATAGCAAGAAGCCTCCTGGTGCTGAAACATCTTATCCAGGTCACAGACAGCCCCTTCATCAATCAAATTTTTATCAAATGAACGCTTACAGAAATGAACATCTTCCTGTACAGCCATGTGCTCTATCTGTAAATTTTCCTGAATATCTCCACCGACTGCGCCCTCAACATCACAAAAACTCAAATCCACAGATTCCCTATTCTCTGAAACAGGACAGTATAACGTCTTATCTTCTGAGTCATTCTCTAATGCTGGGGAATGTTTATATTTCCTTGATGAAGCAGTCTCTGTACATGACGCACTTGTAACAAGTTTATTATTATGACAAACTTCACCCTTTGTTTTACTTTTCTTCTTCAACTTATCATCCGCCTTATCTGCATTTCCGTCTTGTGTTGAAACATTGGATGAATTATTATGATTAGATTTCTTTTTTTGGATTTTAATGGTATTACCAGAAAACTTGCCAGATTTTGGCCGAGCGCCTTGATCCGATTTAAATCCTCTCTCGCGGAAGCCTGGTCCGGCAAAATCAAACCTATGTTTTGCAGCATTATCATAGCGTCTTCTATCACAATGGAAATCAAAACCGTTTCTCCTCGACTCACCGCTAAACAAGGAAGGATGCTGATGGTCTGAATTTTGAGGAAACCTCATGCGAAACTGTGGAAGATAGCCAACAGCCCTGTACTGATCACTGTCACCACCGAAAGGGCCATGCTGCATAAACATCTGGTGGCCTGGATAGCGATGCATGGTTCCAGCAGGATGACCGTGGGTTTGATAACCCGAGGGAGGCCAATAATTGAATGGCTGCCTGTAAGATGCAGCCATGCTGTGTGAATAAGGCAGAGACTGAGATGACGTTGCAAATGAATTACCATTTCTGGCATTTTCTTCTAAATCGAACGCTTGAGGTCGTCTCCGTGGCAGAAAGCCAGCCTGATCCTTTCTTTGGTCTCCTTGATTCATGGCTTGCTGATTAAGTTACAAACATGTCCAAAAACATTCAAAGTTGGCAGTGCAGATCTGTGCAGTCCCAAAGTACTGCTCATGACAAATGAGAATCTGGCTTATTTTATCATCTGTGCTTTCTGTTCCAGAAAAATAAATTGTATGTTTTAGTTCATTTGTTTGAGAGAAACTGCCTGGATGGTCTGGCCACAAGGCATGCACATGACAAGAACACAGGCCTGATGAGTGATTCTAGAAATTGTGTGAGATGGTGAACCATGACAGACTTGATTACACTTAACCTTCTTCTTCACCGGCAGAAAAGTTCTGGTTGCTCGTCCACTTCTGGACTCTAGTCCTGTTCAAGAAACAGAGTTGCGTGCATATCCATTTCACAGATCTAACAAATCTGTATGCAGACTGTTGGTTCCTTGCCTCTAAGGCAGATGTACTCTGACTTCGAAGGAAGCCCCCAATTAGTCGACTCCTATGACATGCCTTTGGGCAGGCAGTGGGTCTATGCTTATTCTCCCCACAAAGTGTCCCCGAGAACCCACTCGGGGAATTACACTTAATGACATGGCCATGGTGATTTCAGAGAGCGTGGAAAGGGGGGCCGGGGAAGAGGGGGGCATGTAAGCAATATACGGAGTAACAGCAACCAAGAAAGAGGGATGGGTAATGTATAGTGGCTAACATGACTCTTGATGATGTTGGCACTTTCCGTCTTTCCAGATGATCGTGTTATACTGTACTATTTGGAGCCATGGGGATCATAGCATATGGTGATTGTGAATGTGACTAGGAACACCCACCCACCTTCCACAGTTAGAGAATGAGATTTCAGGACCATTGTTGCCACCACATGCATTTATGAGCCTCGGAAGACTCACCTACCTTCCGCAGTTAGAGAATGAGATTTCAGGACCTCTGTTGCCCTCACATGCATTTATAGGCCTCTTAGGCCCTCAGCTCTCAAGCCATCTGTAATGGTTTTTTTCCCCTTTTATTCCCAATCCATTCCTGATTTTTCCTCTCCAAGAAACATGGACTATGGCATTTTGTCCCCAAAAATTTTCTCAATTCCTGTATAATTCCTATATTATAACAAGAGGAGAATAAAATGATTAAAATGAAACCTTTTAAATACCATTATTATAGAATGGTTTAAGGGGTCATTCCACTGCTTTTTTTTTTTCCATTTTATGACAAAAACATCACTTTTTCAATGTTTTCGTTTTTGAAAAGTTCGACATTCGTAGAATAGATTACACACAAGATTTAAGTCATTTGTAGACAATTTAGCATAAAAAAGTTAATGCTAAAGACACCACCCCATGCATTTCTTTAGGATAAAATAAATTTTCTACAAAAAATACCAATGTTTGACATATAGCAACAGCCGTTTCTAAATAACATAATATGGCATATTACATCAATTTAATGGACGTTCAATTTACGAAACTAAGAAACATGTCATTATACCGAGATATCATTGGCTCTATTATTTCAAAGCATTTGATTGGTCCCTATCAGATATTTCCCTAACGACGAAGAGATTGCCCATGCGCAAAGCGTAGGGTTTCCCAGTGTTGATGTTTTGATTTTAGATGCTATCTGACGGTTTGACGCTAGTGATTTGGTGAAAATTATTATACACCCTGTCATTATGACAAGAAATAAATTTCGCTTTGGAAACAAAAAGAAAAACAAAAAGCCTAAAAGGAATTCATGCAAGGAAACTCAGAGAAGCTTCTACTTTGAGGTAATTTTACTACTACTAATAGTGTTGCTTCACCAGTTTCGCTTTGTTTTGCTCGCCATAATAAAATTGCTGAATTGATTGATGCTAATTTGATGCTTCTTTCATTTGTATGTTCCAGTTCTACTTTGGATGCTGACATCAGTGAGCCTACAGGTGCTGCTGAAGTTGCAGATCTGGACAGATGTGGTCGAGCACAGCAGAAGTTTGAGGTGTACAGGAATGTGAGTAAAGGAAAAACTAACTATGAATATTTAGTCTTTACTCTACACATTTATTCAACATTTATCCAGTTCCCTTGTTTCTGCACTGGGCTGCAGAAATTGCAGAAGTAACAAAAGTAATAAGCTACAACTGGTTTCAAAAAAGACAAATAGTCTGGCCTCTCTTATACAAATTTCCTGTCCAGGCTTTGAGTCACAGTGGTCAGACTGGAGATCACAAATGGACAAACAGTATGATATCAACTACAAGACAGTCATCGGTTGTAAAGACAATGGCATTGGCTATGCTAAGTTGAATTCTTTACTGTCATGAACATTACAAATCAAATGCCTCAAACAACATTGTATACATTAGCAAAGAGTGTGAGCCTTGCAGCCAGGAAAGCAGCAGAGGAAGCAATGTGCCAAGCAACTTTTGTTGTTGCAAAAAGATCAGCAGCTACAGTTTACCAACCAGACAAAGCCACAAGTGACACTTGGTGCCCCATCATCACTGTTTCATACAATGGCACATGATAGAAACAAGGCCATTCGTCACACAATGGAGTCGGTGTTGCCATCAACGCTGATAGTGGTCTTGTTCTAGATACGCAGATCATCAGCAATTATTGTAAAATGTGTGCTAGTGGTCCAAAACCAGGCTGAGTTTGTAAACTGGATGGAAAGGCATAAATCTGAATGAAAAAAGAATGCAGATTGTTCTTCGAATGCCATGGAGATGATGGTGGCGAGGATGATATTTTCAAGATCGCCCAACATTTTTCTTGCAAGTTGGCAGCATCATCTACCCGGTTGTGAAAAGGTTGACAGATCCAGATCTTCTTCACCCTTGTGCTAAAATGAGCACTCAGTGTGCCAATGAAAGCTTTAACCCATTGATTTGGCAGCGCTGTCCTAAAACAACACTTGCTTCGATGTCAGCAGTGGAGACAGCAACTTCCCTTTCCAGTCTGTCTTTCAACTGTGGTCCTATATTAATTTATAATAGTATTTGACTAAATGGGACTGCAATGGGGACTTACAAACAACATGCATGCTACAAGAATGCTGAAAAGAAAGTATTGTGATTCAAGAAAACAAACGTTAAGTCTTTCAAAGTAGAAGAGGAAAAACCAGAAAAAATGGTGACTCAAGCTAAAACACCAGCATGGAGTAACACAAGGCAAAACCTATGTTGCTGGTGGATTTAATTGTTACATTTATGTGACATTTTCTGTGGATAGGATGCAGAATACAACAGACTAGGTAAGAACCCTTTCTTTCTTTATTAATTATATTTTATGTGACTTTAAAGTTTAAAAGTCACTTTTCTCAAAACTTGTGTGTGGGAAGTCCTAAAATCTCAGCTAATATAAAGACTAGAGAGCTGAAATTTGCTGTGGATACTCCTAACACAATATTATAGGGTCACACATATTTAAAAGTACAGTTTATTAAGTAATTTATTTTTTAATTTTATTATTACCTTAAAAGGCTACATTTTTGTATTTTTTCAACATACCTAAATTTTAATATTCTAAAAAAAATATTTAGAAACATCTTTGAAGTAAATAAACTAGACCTGACCCTAAACATAGATTTGAAGTCATGAATCAATCATCTGTTTCTCAATACCTCTGTTTGTTTTTGAAATCTTAGTTTTCTAAGTACATATTGTTTTTTCATCAAGATGGTGACTGTTGCCATGGCAACCATGTTTTTTTTTTAACTTAAAGTGTACAAATGTATCATCATACATCCCTACAAATGACCTTTGTAAAATAATTGGTCTAACATTGTAAATTTTAAAAAAAATGTTCCTGTAGTGACCCCTTAATTTCGTACTAACTTTAATTCATTATTATATTTAAACTGTGTGTTAAAAGAGTTCAAATGGGATGAATGGTCGGAGACCACGAGGCAGACCAAGAAGAATATAGAGAGATAATGTCCAGACAGACCTGCAAACACTTGGTGTCACTAACTGGAAAGAGAAAGCCAACCAGAGAGGCGGGTGATATCTGCAGCAATGAACCTCAAGGGCTCTGAACGCTGAAAAAGAAGAAGAAGAAGAAGAGCAGACTATTTAGCAAAACTGGAAGTCACGCAGAATAGCCAGACACAGAATGCAGTTATGAGGCACATAAAACACAGATCAGTGCATCTTTAGAACCCATTGCAACATTTACTATACAGAACACAATCTTGAAGACTCAATCAACGTTTCTAATATGAAAGCAACAGACCTTTATTTTTAGACTGTAAAATGGACAGTTTTCCAATATACAGTGAATATATAATGAGATCTTTAATTGATATGCCCGCAATTGTGGTTGGTCGGCACAATATAAACAATTTACGTTATGCTTATGACACAGTCTTGATAGCAACAAGTCAGAAAGAACTACGGGAAATGATAGACATTGAATAATGGGAAGACAGAAGTAATGGTGGTATCAAAGAAACGAATTATTCCTAAATGTGTAATAAAAGTCGATGGTGTTATTTTAGGACAAGTACAGAAATTTAAGTATATGGGCACATGGATAACATCAGATGGAAGATGCATAACTGAGATAAGAAACAGAATAGGACAGGCAAAAACTGCATTTTATAAAATGTTAAACATCTTGTGCAATATATCCTTGTCATTGAGAGTTAGAAAAAGAATTCTTGCTTGCTACATAAATCCAGTTTTAACATATGGCTGTGAATCCTGGACAATCGGTAGGCAGGCTAAACAATTTCTAGAGGCCTCAGAGATGTAGTTTTACAGAGGAATGCTTAGAATACCTTGGACAGCCAAAAAGAGCAACCAAGAGGTTTTGAAAGAGGCGGGAGCTCGAAGACAACTTATCACAGAAGGAGACAGTCATCATTTTTCTGCCATGTTATGAGAAAAGGAGAAAATAGAACGTTTTGTGACCACTGGAAAGATCTGTAGAAGGAAGGATAGAGGAAGACAACGAGAGAAGATGCTTGACAGTCTTGTTGCATGGCATGGAGGTGTGTCGGCACACGAACTGATACATGCTGCAGGAGATCGCAGATTA